GGCTCCTGCTCCGGCTCGGGGCGCACATGGAGCCCGCGGCCCCGGCCTCCCCAGCAGCACCAGGACCAGCAGCACCTTCTCGTCTCCCAGCAATGAAGCCAAATCAAAATTATCTTAGCAAGCTTTCGGGTTTAAAAACCCTTCGTCAGGCTGAGGAAGCACCTGCAGTTGGTGTGTGCCCTTCCTGGATGGAAGACACTTTACTTCATTTTTGTAAATAGACTGTGACTAGAATAGTATCTTTTCTTAAATTTTTGAATAAAATAGTATCTGTTTTGTAAATAGACCTTGAATAGAATGGTAAAAACACCTTGCTTCATTTTTTTCCATGTTTAAGAGTGTACATTCAATTTTGCTTGCTTTCTAAGGAAACATGGACCCAGACTGCTGATCAATATGCCTCTGTATTTGTGAAACTAAAGTGTGCATCACTTTCAACACCCAGTACACTTTCTGCAACTGCTTTAACCGCAAACTATTTGACATAATGCCTACTTGCCTACACATCGGCAATGAAATGTAGGCACTTCTGGGGTGAACTTGACTTCCTCTTTAGTAACCCACAGCAACACTGCAGGAAATGGAACATTTTAGGAGACTAGAGATTGGTACTAAAAGGCACTGCCTCACCACACACATCTTCCTTCTTGAACATCCCTGGACCATCATGGCTACACCACTAATACTATTCACCCATGGCGGCCATTTCTCGGGCATTTTTCTCCCCAGTGTCATTAACCTATTATGGAAATAGGATACACTTTTGTTACCACTGCTCTAGGGATGCTGTTCATAAGCCTACCAGCTCTGAAAGGCCAAGGAGAAAGTCTTTCTATCTGGGATGGCTGAATTCAGCTCTAACCTGTGATACCCATATCTTCAGTTTTGCTGACAGTACAGAAACAAGACACAAAAATGACAAAAGAGACACCCAAGAGTTCTGACTGCAGGGTTGACAATGTGGTTTCACAACATTGTCAAAAGCTTGAAAACACCTGTACTGGCAAACCACGAAGAGCAGCTCAGCGGCGCCAAGGCCTCTTGTCAGTAAGCCGCAATCTGTACATTTGGGTAAAGACACCAAGGCACCAAGGCATCTTGACACCACGTGGCCAATTGGGAGCTTATTGCTACTATTAAGCCTAACCTCAACAGGATACAGTATAGCTTAGGATACAAAGGTAAAAAGGGTATCTTACCACAATGCGGTATAAAATAAAGTAAGTAGCACGCCACACTAATCACAAAAAAATTTAGCGCTTAGCCAATCACAGTAAAGATTAATTCAAATTTGGTCCTAAATTCCGCTGAGATGCGAATACATTTGGGCGGAAATTTGAGCAAGGTCTGCAGATCTTCGGGTTCTCATAGAAGCTACTGCTGGGGGAACAGATAATCTAGAAGCTTTGCGGGTAGTGCACGACCGACAGCTTAGCTGATCTGCTCCAGGCATCATCTTTAAGGGTGTCTTTAGAAATTTCGCATAAGCAGTAACAAGGCTTGAGCATGCTGTATTGGATTTGGTGAGTATACTCTGTTTATTTCTTTTCTCTTAGACAAACAAAAGCTTGCTTCAAAGATCTGCGTGTCTATCTTAAAATAGGTTATACCACTCGCTCCATTACGGGTACGCCATAACCTTTTCAGTATGAGTCATCCCTGAAGATCCTGTTTCCCCACGTTCAAGGGGAGGTACAACAGAACTGATTTTTTTTCAGCTGGCATCTCTGACTTCTTTGGAAGGAGCCACAGCAAAATAAAGATGGTAAAGGTAACTATAGCCATATGCGCTTGGAACAGAAATCCTAAACATATCAATTCCCAGACCATCCTTCCAGTCTCCAGATACATCATGAGCAGAGCCCCCCTCTCCAAACCATTCACAGCCTTCTCATACATTTGCCTACTGTGGTGGTGTCCTTTAGGATGCCTCTTCGCACCCCTATATAGTCACCCAACGAGCCGTCGGTACCCCCATTTTCCCTCCTGCCATGTCTTGGATGTTATTGCTATATATTCAAATTTGTGATGTCACTAGTCGGCAGGGTTGTCATATATCATTGTGTTTTCTGTCGGTCGCTCTTACTGTGTCTCTATTAGGGGTTCACGGGCACTGTGGGTATTCGCACGCACTCGAAGGTATAGACAATCGCAGTCTGATTCAGATCAAAACTTGTCTTTACTATTAACTTTTATCACTCTACAACCTTCTTTTACTTTCAGGCAGAAGCTGTCTCTCTCTCTTTTAATACGATATCAGCTTGCTAATTCTACTTCTCTAATACCCTTTTGCTATAGCTATTAACTTGACTGAACGGAACTTAGTATTAACAAACAACGTCTCTTTCTTTCTTGTCCATCAGTGTTTCCATTCCTGTTGCGAGCTTTTATGTTCTTTTGTCACTATACAACTTCCCTTTACTTTCAGGCAGAAGCCGTCTTTTTGTATCCTTTTTCTTTTCTTTCTTTAACCTCATCTATAATATCAGGTTTGTAACTCTGCTTATATGATGTTTTTATGCAATAGCTGACAACTTGGCTGAACAGAACTAGTATTAATCAACAAAGTCTCTTTCTATCTTGTCCATCTGGTTTTCTATTCCCCTTGCGGGCTCTTATCCTCAAACCTCGCTATACACTCTCTCGTTATTTAGTTGATATGAGTTTACCTTTTGTCCTGAGGCGACTGATGCCTCCAGTCCCCTTGCCGGGCAATGAGAGGCCGTCTCCAAGTCCGAGAGGATGGGTCAAAATTCACTCTCTTCTTGTCTTTGGTTACTTCAGAGGGCGGCAGTGTGCCACGGCCTCCGAGCTCAGTTCTCCCCGGCCCTGTGAGACGTCTTCAGGTAAGCTTTTTATGCCCTGGGGATCCTCTTTCTTCCTCTTTTGCTCTTTTAGTCTCCGCTCTTTTCCTTGCTGAAGCTCCTGTCTTTTCTCCTCGCTCCGGTCTCGGACCTTCTCTGCTAATCTGGTACTGGCTCCGGAAGCGGCATTCCCCGGGGGTCTTCGCCGCCGCCTCCTCGCTCCTTCACACTGTAAAAGGAGTGTATCCCTGCGGGGGATTGGGATGTATTCTGTATCTGCTTATTCAGTCCCTCGCCACCTTAAAAGCCATGACTAGGGAGGAGCTGCCTAAGTGTTGTCTGAATATAATTAACCATGCCTTAGCCAGAAGAGACCCCAACACGCTCTCTGCTGAGTGCCAAGAGGATGCAGAGCCATAGGCACTGACTTTTATTTTTGCGTGGGGAGGCCTCAAATGATGGTTGTGGGGAAAGTTGTATGCATTTCAGGTGACAGCCCTCTTCCCGAGGGGGGCCGGGGCCCGCAGGCCCACACATACTTGGCACCCCTGTGCAGGGCAAGTTGCCGGGGCAGGGAACACGCTAGAGCAGCGAGGCTTCCTGAGTCCCCGGATATTTCCTGTACGTGTAAGCATTGCGCTAAGACCTGGGTGATACTACAGCAGCCTCTTTTAATGATAACGAGGAGGGTTGTTTACTTTTTTTTTTTAGGTGGGGGGAGGGCGCTGCGTCGACTTTACTGGAAGTTTCCTTCCATCCACAGTTCTCTCCTAACACGCATCTGTAGACACTGACGGGTTGTGCCACGTTACTGTTGTTGTTGCTAGTAATTTATTTCATGATCTTGCACGTAGCATGCCCCATTTGCAGAGGCAATTTGATTTTAAAGGGGAGTGTGAAGGGAAAAAACTTCAATAGAGTTGAATGAGTGGCAGCAGGGGAAGGAGGCATGGAAGCTAATTGCTCCCAAAGCTGTAACAGTTAAGAGTGCCACCCCTCCACTGCCCCCTCCCCTGTGGGGATCCCTTTTCCTTGTGTAGCATGTGCTCCCCGGAGATGGCTGTGGAGGGGTCCTGTGCAGTGAGGCCCTGTCCTGCCTGTCCCAGTGCTTCCCATTACCTGGAGTTGGTGTCGGCAGAGCCTGGACCTGGTTCCAGCCCCCGGAGAAAGTGCCCCCTGGGCTGGGCACCGAGGGGCTGTAATGAAGACACCTGCAGCACAAGAGGGAACAGCCTTCTCCCTTCCAGCCAACACCCTCTCCCCTCCCCTGGACAGGAGCACAGGGAAAAAAATCACAGAAAAGCCAGACTGGAAGAGACCTCAGGAGGCCACATCTAGTCCAGGACCTGTTCAAGACAGGATCATCCCTGCCTAAACCTTCTCAGACAAATTCAAAGTGTTTGTCTAACCTGCTCTGAGGCATTTCCATGGATGGAGATTCTGTCACCTCTCCACCAGTGCTCAGTTACCCTCACAGGGAAGGTGATCTTCCTGGACTAGTTTTTCCTTGAGAAAAAGTTTCACCCTTTTTATCATCGATTCCTAGGAAATGAGGGTTGGAAGGGATCTCAGGAGGTCACGTCTAGTCCGCCCCCCTGCTCAGAACCGGTCCACTCCCAACTATATCATCCCAGCCAAGGTTTTCTCTGCCCTCCGGCTTTTTGACTGTCTCTGACAGAGGCTGCGGCTGGAGAGCTCCCAGACAGGGCCCGGGGCTGCTGCCAGCTCCCAGGGGAGGAGCAGGAGCAGGAGAGAGGCCAGTGGAGGGCAACAAAAATGGTCGCAGGGCTGGAACACACGACTCCTGAGGAGGTGCTGAGGAAACGGCTTATTTCGTCTGGAGAAGAGAAGAGTTAGGTGGGATTTAATAGCCGCCTGCAACTACCAGAAAGGTGGCTAGGAAGGGGATGGAGCTCCACTGTTCTCCGTGGTGGCAGATGACAGAAAAGGAACAATGGTCTCAAGCTGCAGCAAGGGAAGTTGAGGTTTTAGGAAAAACTCTCACGAGGAGGGTAGGAAAGCACTGAAACAGGCTACCCAGAGTGGTCTGGGATCGCCATTATTGGAGGTTATCTGCCTAATACCTCCCCCTGCTAGCCTTCGCCCACTGCTATTGCCCGTATTAGGCAATGGGCGGAGCCTGGAGCGCCAGTATTTAGGTAATGGGTGGAGTCGGAATCCTCCGCGACTTACTTTGGCGGTGCGGTTTGTCCAAGGCAAGCCTAAAGCGCAAGCGCAAAGCCCCATCAGTCCGCGACCAAAGCCGCATCCGAGGCTTTTGCAGCCGGCGCTGAGACGCTCCCGAGCCGTAGCGAGCTGGTTCCCGGGCCGGCGAGACTCTCCTCTGCCTCCAGGGCAGGCGCAGGTACCGCGGGGCAGGTGTAGTACGAACAATAGCTGCCCCCCGCCCGCCACCACCCGCCGCACAGGCGGAGCCCGGTCCTTGGGCAGAGCAGGGGCCTCCGCCGCACGCCCGGGGAAGGACCGGGGGCCTCTTACCCGCCCCTGCCTGGTGCAACCTCCCCGCTCCCCGCACCCGCACACTTGCAGCCCGCTCCTTCCTGGGGCCGCCGGGACGTGGCCGGGCCCTGCTGCTGGAGGAGCCTGAGCAGGGGTCTGCCCCCAGCCGGCAGCGGGGGG